ATATATATATATATATGTCTATAAGTGTACCAATTTTGTTTTTAGGCTGTGCTGCAATCTATGCTACCCAGGGAGTCTAACTCAAAGGTAAATAATCATTTTGTAGAATTCCTAGTTTTTTTGCATGGGTTTCAGTTGCAACTTTCTTCAAATAATGTTGTAATTTTTTTTCATTATTATCTAATATAACAAGAATATCCTAATCCTTTGTAAATACTGAATATCTCAGTAACCAACTTTAACATGAATTGTTTAAATTGCAGGAAATTTAGAAATAATTTTTTGTAAATTATTTTCTTTATTAACATAATGAAATGTAATGCTCTGCTTCAAGTAAAATTAAGTTTGCTGTAATCTTATATATATTGACAACTATGGAGTCTGCCTGAGTGTTCCTCTGCCTCCCGTTTGAAAAGCTGTGCATGCTGGCAAATCTCAACATTCACTTTTGAAATGACAGGAGAACAGGCATGATTAATGTTGATGCTAAATTTTATTTTGCAAACAATATATTCTACACTAAATTGTTAGGAATTAATCACACTATCATTCACATTTGAAAATGTGATGTAACTTAAAGAATTAAAATTTAGATTTACCGTATGTTATTATTGAGCGGCTCTTAGCATGATTGAAATGCTCAACAATTACTTTCTGTGGTGGGCGGTATAAGTAGCTCAGAGCTTTGGCTCTGAGTGAAATCAAGAATGCAACACAATTAACCTTTTTAAAGTCCATGAAATAATTTAAATTGATAGATTAACTTAAACTTTTCCCATCACTGGAGGTGGGTACTTTTGCTTGTTTGATATATATGGAACAAGTTATTGAAATGAAAATTTACCAGAAAGTATTTAATAGACTATATTAAGCAAATAAACTTCAATTGCTAAACTTCAGTCAGAAAATGTCAACCGTATCATAAGACAGTTATTATTAAAATTTACTTTCCAGTTTGTAATTTTAAGCCAGAGGGTCTAATTAATCCCAGATAAAACTGATAGAAATATCCATGGTACACCAGCCATATACAAATAAACATATTTTACCTAACACAGGAAGTGGATGCTGCACTTCTCTCTATTATTAGTTTCCCAGCTTTTGCTGTTGAAGACCCAGAACTTATTCAACAAACCAGAGAAACTATAGAGGAAAAACTACAGGTAAAAAGTGCTGGAACTTTTTTGTATGTTTTTTACATGTAAGGCTTAATAGGACTGCAGACGAGAAGAGCTTAAATCCATTTGTTAGAAAGCAAAGATTAGATATTTTCATAAGGTTTGTAAAAATATTTTTGAGCTTTTATTGATACAGCAGTTTAACCCTTTTGTGACTGGCTCGGTGTAAAATACACAAGTTTGTATACAGATTTGTACACTTTAAGTATTTATACTATAACTTTTAATGCACTATGTGTATCTTCACAAAATTTGGTAACTTTTAGTAATGATTACAAGGCTTTTGTACACATAAAATCAGATTTTTTAATGAAGTATTTTTACTAAAGATTTGTTTGTGAATATATCAAGTCTGTTTCATTACTAGTCCGAGTGCGAAGTGATTTCATTTTATGATTAAAAAAACTATTCTTCATTCCAGAAATCTCAAAAAACTTTCTAAATACATTTCAAACGTTTGTTTTTAGTAAAACTTTATATTTTGTCTGTTATTTTCTGTACCCTAACTATATAGGATTTGTCAAATTCACTGACCTTGTAACTGCCATAAAAAATTAAGAAATAAATATATATTATGTTTTTTTCGTTCTAGAATGATAAATTATAACAAGAAAACACAAATGTTTAGTCTAATTAGCTTAAATCTCATAACACTATGCATTTCTATATCTTTATTATTTTTATTACATTGACCTTTCAGCCATGTCTGGCTAATATTATAGAAGTGGCAATGATGTGGCGCATGTGCACTCATGTTATATATCCAAGAATATAAAACTGGCCTTTACAAAGTGAACTGTCTTGGCTGTGTTTTAGTGGACTAATATTTTGTAAAATACAGTCATGTTTCAGCTATAATACAATATATATGTGTATATACATTATTACTATTTACAAATAAGTTCTAAAACTTATTTTTATTACAACACAGAATAGTAAATAAAGATGTATAGCAAACAATTATCTCTGCTAGTTAGTAACTTTTTATTCATTTGCTGCTTGCCGTAGGTTGCTAAGTCTTATGAAATTTTTTACGTAGAGGATGTGAAGTGAAATAATTTTTTTAGGTTTTTATATATACACAAACTACTATATCAATACCATAGAATTACACTATAATTTATCAAACGTAGTAACTAAGCTGTATTTGTGTCTGAAAAAATATGAAATTTTCGAGCTCACTAAAGTGTCAACTTATTTTCTTTGAATCCAGAGTGAAAAGAAAGGATTTCCCATACAAATAATTTGCAAAGGCTCAGAGAACCATGTGGGGGACAATCTGAGCTTTTGATTGGTTATTCACATGTCACAGATAGAAGTAGGTTTATGTAATCAAGTGTCTGGAAAAATGGAAAGAGATGGGTGGGGCCACTTTGTTTTATTCAGT